TCTCCTCTCTGTCAATGCTCTCTGGATTTATTTAAAAGAGCCGATCATCAGATATTGTCCAAGATTAACCTTCAGGGTGGATATAGATCGCTAGCAGCCACGCATTGATGACCTACTCACGTCATCATTTACCCAGAATGCTTTGCGTGTTAATAAAATGGCCCCGTCCGTGTAATATATTTTTAAACTTTTAGTTTAAAAATCATAAAACCTAAACAGCCTACAGTATTTTTACAGTTTTTATTTTACAGTTAAAATATGTTTATGATTTTGTCTGCAGTGGTTGGTTTTGCTGACGGGCTGTTTTCTGTCTCTGCAGCCCAACTAAAGCCAGTCTGTACGGAGCCATCCTCTTCACCCTGCAGGAGGCCCACTGGCTGCCAGTGTCCAAGAGCACCCTCATCCTCGTCTTCACCCTCTTCATGGCCACATGCAAGGTACACTCTTTCATCCTGTAAAAGAAACAGCGAAACATCTGCGSAGTGTTTGAGCCAAACTGAGAATATAATGYGGTAAAACWATAAAACAAATCCTGAATGTGGTGCAGAAATTAGGTAAACATTTCCATCCATCAAGGTTTCAATTTACACTATTAATCACTCAAATATGCAGCACAGCAGTGTGTTATTTACACACATACCAGAGTAACACTTATGATTAATTACATGTTGCTACAGAATTTGGGGGGGGAATGAAGCTTTTCATTTAGCCTACAACACAAACACAGGGTTTTTTTTTTAAAGTGGGGTTTTGTGGAGAGCTTGGAAATAATCAATGTCATACATGCTGCAGATAATTATCTAAACATACCCAGTTTGGAGAAAAAGAGATTAGTTCTGATGAGAAAGTTGAGCAATATAAAAATAAATAACAATTCTAGTTTTAATTATTTCATAACGGTTCCTGTGAATGTTGTTTTATAAATGTTTCCATCACTTTGCAGAAGTTTATTTACTCTGGAGACTGTGTCAGTCTCAGGTCCAACAGGGTTTAATGTGAAACACGTTGCAAAACATCAACATCATTGGGCAGAGGAACTGACGCAAAATAATGAAATGTAAAATTATTGCAGTTCAAGCCAACAGTTTTACTGATTCTCAATTTACCAGTTTCCCAACTTACTATTGTGTGAGATCATTTGATTAGAAACAGACAGACTAACACAGTCTTTAGAGTAAATCATCCTTACTTCTGTCATCTAAAGCATGGGTGTCTAACTCATTTTCACCAAAGGGCACACGAGCATCATGGTGACTCTCAGTTGTATTTAACTTTGACTAAACARGAAACGTCTCGTTCCTCATRTCATAGCAGCAGCTGGGCACCAGTAARAAACAATAACTSCGCTCTACCTGGTATTTRCTGCAWAGAAACAGCATTTAACACATCCTATAAACTCTGAAAAGCACTACGTGTACGACTGACTAAATGTGAAATAAATTATAAAGACATTCTCTTAAAAGTTAAATTAAGAGTTTTACTCGCTGTTGAGTTGTGGTGCGTAGCTGCCATCT